TACCAATTATTGTTATCTTTGCTTGCGAACTCAAGTATTTCCCATCAGGGTTACTTGCGAACTCAAGTATTTCCTATCACAATCATTATTCAAAACCTGATCTTACAAATGCTTCAAATGTTTCCAACCAGGTCATAAATCCAACGACTGCCCGATGCGTCCTCGTATTCATCTTGTGGAACGAGAATATGAGAATGCAGGAAATCCAAGTAATGAAGATCTTGATGCAGAGATCGAAGAACTTGAGGCGGATGAAAGTGATGATGTCATTTGTGTCTTGGAAAGGTTATTGCTAGCCCCTCGCCAGGACGTTAATTCCCAAAGGAATGTCATATTCTGCACACGTTGCACCATAGAAGGAAAGGTGTGTAATCTCCTCATCGACAACGGTTGTACCAAGAAAATAGTTTCCTGATCACTTACTCAAGCCCTGCAACATAAAACACAAAAAAATCTCAACCCGTACAAAGTCAGTTGGGTTAAGAAGGGCATGGAGATTTTAGTTATAGAAATGTGCTGGATTACATTTTCGATCGGGAAGCAATACATATTTGAGATTTTGTGTGACGACATTGATATGGAAGTTGGCCACATTATTTTTGGAAGGACATGGCAGTATGACATAGGAGCTACTTATGATTGCAGACATAATACATACTCTTTTGATTGGAAAGGTAAAAAAATCAGGTTACTGCCATTCTTGGTTGAGTCCAAATTCAACCACAAATAACCCAAAACAACTCTTCATATTGTGGCTGGAAATGCCCTTTTAGCTGGTGATCGAGTGAATGATGAAATTTTAGCCCTTGTGGTTACAGACACACAACCTAGTCCACCTGCGAAGGCCACACCAGATTCAGTCCAACACCTACTAAAGCAATTCCAAGACATCTCTCCAACCAAACTCTCAATTGGACTTCCCCCATTACAGAATATTCAGCATCAAATAGAATTCACAGCAGGGGCGATATTACCAAATCTTCCTCAGCATAAGATGAGCCCTAAGAGCACTGTATTTTGCATGAAATAGTTGAGGAGCTTTTAAAGAAATAACTCATATAACCGAGTCTAAGTCCGTGTGTGGTACAAGCCCTTTCGGTACCTAAGAAGGATGGCCAATGGAGAATGTGCATTGACAGCCATGTCATTAACAATATTACAATGAAATATTGTTTCCCCCATTCCTCGTATTGATGAGCATTTAGACAAGTTGGCCAAAGCAAGGATTTTCTCAAAACTAGATCTCAAAAGAGGATATAATCAAATTCGAGTCCGCCCAGGAGACGAATGAAAGATGGCTTTAAAAATGTGTCAAGGACTATACGAATGGTGGGTTATGCCATTTGGATTATGCAACGCTCCGGCGACATTCATGTGGCTGAAGAATGAGGTATTGAAGCCACTTTTGGGCAAGTTCAGTACAGTATATTTTGACGATATCCTTATTTTTAATACTTCATTGGAAGAGCATTTAGCCCATTTGACTGAAGTTTTCCAAATTTTGAGAACTCATTGGCTATATCTCAACCTTTGCAAGTGTGAGTTTGCTACATCCAGTGTTTATTTTCTTGGTTTCATTGTGTCTGTCGGAGGAGTAGAGGTAAATCCGAGGAAAATTATTGCTACTATGGAATGACCAACTCAAAAACATTGTTTGATATTTGCAGCTTCCACGAAGTCGCCAACTTCTACAGGCGGTTCATAAGAGGTTTTAGCCTTATTATGACGTCCATTACCGATTGCTTGAAGTAGAAAGCACTCACCTGGACTGACGAACAACAGCGTACCCTCGAATGCATCAAGACTGCACTTAGCTCAGTACCGATACTCGCTTTGTCTGATTTCAAAAAGCCATTTCAGCTGGATACCGATGCCTCTTCCACAGGCATTGGCACAGCTTTGTCACAGTTGGACAAGCCTATAGAATACTTCAGTGAGAAACTAAGTCCTAGCATGTAGAAATGGACCGTGTATGAACATGAATTATATGCCGTGGTGAGAGCTTTAAAGCATTGGGAACACTGTTTGCTTCATCGGTATTTTGTGTTGTGTAGTGATCATAAGTCACTTCAGTTTATAAACAGTCAAAAAATAGTCAATCGAATGTATGCCCATTGGATATTAATTTTGCAAAAAATTACTTTTGTATTGAAGCATAAATCAAGAAAATCCAATAGAGTAGTAGATGCACTTAGCAGAAGAGCTGCCTTACTCACACAGCTACAAACTAAAATTACTAGTTAGAATGCTTAAAAGAATTGTATTCTGGAGATAAAGACTTTTGTGATGTTTGGAATCTGTGTTTAAATGCAACTCCCATTAAGGATTACTCCATCAGGCACAGTTTCTTGTTCAAAGGCAACCTACTATGTATTCCTGACTCTTCATGGCGACAACAGTTGATTTGAGATGCTCATGGGGGCAGGTTGGCTGTGCATCTTGGAAGGGAGAAGACTTTCCAAAAATTGCAATATAGATTTTTTTTGTTGAGAGGCGCTCTATTTGTCAAGAATATAATGGTGTCAATCAAAACACCGGATTATACACACCACTTCTGATACCATATTCAATTTGGGAAGATATCAGCTTAGCTTTTGTATTAGGACTACCTAAAACAAAACATGGTACCGACTCTATACTAGTAGTGGTTGATCGCTTTTCGAAGATGGCGTATTTATAGCATGCAAGAAGATATTTGATGCAGTTAATGTGGCTCGTTTGTTTTTCAAAGAAATTGTCCTTCTACACGAATTGCCTCATAGTATAACTTCTAACCGAGATGTGAAGTTCATTAGTCACTTTTGGAGAGACTTATGGAGTCGGTTGCACACTGAAATCAAACTAAGCTCGGCATATCACCCTCAAATGAATGGCCAAACCGAGGTGGTTAATCGTACACTAGCTAATATGCTTCGTTGTTTAGTTCAAAGTATACCAAAGCAATGGGATGAAGTACTCGAGCAGGCTGAGTTTGCATATAATTCTATGACAAATTGATCAACTGGTTGCTGCCCATTCAGCATCGTTTACACAAATCGATCAACTGGTCGCTGCCCATTGCCTTATGGACATCGTAGTTCTACCCAAATGTCGCGCTACAACAGCTACGCAGTTTACTAATTAGCAAAGTTTAGTTATCCAGAAAGTGAAAGATAAGCTTATGGACTCTAATGCTTAATACAAACAAGCAGCAGACATTCATAGGCGCAAATAAATTTTTGAACCAGGGGATCTTGTGATGGTTAATCTTCGCAAGTAACGATTTCCCACGGGACAGTATTTGAAACTCGCCCCACGCAAATTTGGGCAAGTTTCTATTTCCAAATGCATAAATGATAATGCCTATGTAATTGGGCATTGGAGAGGTTAAACCAACAAAAGTTTCATGGCAACCAGCTGATAATTCCCTTTAGTATCCGCGTGCATAATGTGTTGGTGAAAGTAGACATGGTAATCATTCCAACTGATTCCTTGTATTGGATATGGAAGAAGGAGATCCACAATATCCCATTATTCTTGGATGACCATTTCTATCGATTAGATGAGCACAAATAGATATTCAGAAAGGTGAGCTACATCTGAAAGTTCAAGAGGATGAGCTGGTTCTCAAAGTAATATGAAAACTCGAACATATAACCATCAAAGGATATCGATTACTGTATCACGAAAAAGGAGGTTCAGTGCCCAACTGCCACATAGAGTCCATAAATGTAAGTTATCGGGGGAGGTGATGTTGGAGTCAAAATGTTTTTAGAGAGCTACAGCCACATCAACATAAAGGAGACCAAATGCTCAGTTCAGCAGTCAAGCATACTTGTGGGAAATGTGATTAACTTCAAAACACATGATAAGGGAGTCAACACATCTGTTGAAAAACAACCAAAGGCCAACTCTCCGGGCAGTATAGCGATATTGTTTTTTAGATAAACCAAATTTATAGCTACACTTTTTTGAATAAAACCTTGCAAAAAGCACAAAATCCGGCGGCTCTATATAATACTAGTCAAATTATTTGGCAAAAACAGTTGGCAGTGAAATCAGTTTGAGCTCGTGGACTAGTAAAACTTTTTAATTTAACCCTTCGAAATCATTAACCTCAACACAAAATCAAAGACTTCGAAGTCATTTGGATATTCTTTGGGCAATTTTTTTTCTTGTGAAAGTAACAATATATATCTTCCCCCCCAAAAAAAAAGAAAGCCACGTCACCGTCTTCAACCGAAATGAAATTATTGAAGATGGTAGGGCAAGGCGGGCCCACCATCTAATCAATATCGCCTCGCGGGCTAGTTGGCAAGAAAAGGACAAAAATCTGTAATCCGGAGTCGGGCTCACCAAGCGAAGCCTCCTTCAGCCGACTAAGCAGATCCATAAAATCGTCCGCTTTCAGAGCAAATCCAAGCCTTTAATTTATAGGTTAAGCCGTTTAGGGCTTCAGCAGGCTTCAGGCTGAAGCCGCTGAACCATTGGACCACGTTGATTGCATGTACTCTACAATTAAAATGTATTTGTCCCCAACTTATCTCAATTACATGATATATGTAATGTGCAAAATTATACAAATAAAAATTAGTTCTAAGTCATTGTTTAAGTGTTTTTTTTTATTTGTTTTTTATATACAATTGAGTCAATTAAAATAAATTTACAAACATATCATCATATATAAATTTCAAACCTAAAATTCCTTAGTTGATAAACAAATTTTTTAACCAACAGATTAAGATTAGCTGCATGTTATTGTGCAAGTACCTGGTTGCTTTTGCTGCTACGTAGGGGTAAAAGACGGTAAGTTTTTTCTGCTCGACCAGCGTTCGAATGCGTGCACGAAATTAGGATTATTTTTTAACTTTTAAGTTTATAATGATTTTGAATTTATTTGACTTAACCTGCTTTCAATTTCGAATAGAACTTATTTTTTTGTCCAAAAGAAAACAAGATGAAAATCAAATATAGCTCGCAGGACTGTTCGAATTAGGGTAAGTTAAAAAAATGACGCTCACCTACTCGCCGGAGGAGCACAAGAGGAAGCATCACAGCGAAGACAGTAATCGCAATCGCCGACGATCTCACCGTCCACCAATCCTCCCCAAACCACTCCTGCAGTACGCCCACATGCACTGTTCCCTCCGATCTGTTCCCTGACAGCACGTCCCCTGCCACGGAAGTACGAAAACACTCCCAACAAATCAACCACCACAATCACACCTCTGCACGAATCATAAAGCTTTACCGAGAACCTACCGATGATGATGAGGTACATTATGAGTGCGCCCAGATTGGTAAGCGCGACGCAGATCTGAAGCCCTACCGAACCCACGCGGCCGAAGGACTCCGCCATGACGCCGGAGTAGGAGGCATCTTCCGGCGAGTCTCCGGCGGTTGTGTAGCGCATGAGGAACTCGACGGATGCGTCGCAGAGGAAGGCGACTGCAGCAAGGACAAGGAACGCGGGACCCACGCCGAGGACGCGCAGGGTCGCTGGGATCGACATGATGCCTGCGCCTACGATGCTAGTGGAGATGTTGAAGACGGCGCTGGAGAAAGATGCGCCGACGGGGACAGGTGATTCGGGGGGCTCGATCTCTGGAAGTAGGGGGACGAAGGCGCCTCCGACGCCGACCCTCGCCGGAGATTTCATCCTGAAGGGAAATGGATTTGAGGAATCGGTGGAGGTGGGGGGAGTGAGAGAGACCCGTGAGAATTGCGGAGCTCTATGGCTTATGTAGAATTTGCATTGTTATGGAGTTGGAGTTACCAGTGAACCGCATGTTCACCTCGTGCCACGTGAACAATGTGCGGCGGTTCGGCTCCTACGTCTGCTAGGTTGGATTTGTCGTTCGGCTGTGACTCTGTGAGTCTGGTTTTTTTTTTTTTTTTTTTTTTTTTTGTGGTTTTTTTTTTTTTTTTTTATTTCTAGTGGTTATTGTTTAGGTCTTTATTTGGGCAAAATTATTACGCCTTTCTGTCATTAAAAAAATAAAAGGAGGTTGGATAAAAGACAATTCTCTCAATACTGTTGAGACACGTCATCCACGTGTTTGAATTTCAATACAATAATTTTTCTTATTTTAAAAATTATAAGTATGACTTAGAACTAGGGGTGCATCCGGGTCAAGTCGGCTCGCGAGCCGGCTCGAGTTCGACTTGGTAATAGACTTGACGAGTCGAGCTTATCGAGCTCGAGCTCGAAATGTGCGTTGCTCGACTCGCGAGCTCGTCAAGCAGCTCGCGAATGAAATGGCAAGCGGGAAATCGCAAGCGAGGGGGAAAAAAAATGGGCAGCGGGAAAATTGAATCATGCGAACAAACAGATGCAAGCCTCAAGACTCTCTTGCGATCTCTTTTCTTCCCCACTCGGCTTCCTTCGTCGTTGTTCGACTTTGTCCCTTCGACGACATTCCCTTCAAGTTAGATCGGAAGTTACGACACTTCGATCGGAAGTAGGAACCAGAGCTCGCTCACTGTGGAGGAAACTTTCTTCATTTGGCGCGCTTCTTCACCCCTTCGACGACATTCTCTTCCTGTCGGATAGGAAGTTACGACATTTTGGGCGGAAGCGACGAAGGGAGCTCGTTGACTGAGGGGTAACTTTCTCCTTATCAGGCGCTTCTCCGGCTCCTTCGTGGCTGTTCGACCTTGCCCCTTCGACAACTTTACCTTCCTGTCGGATAGGGAGTTATGACATTTGGATCAGAAGCAATAACGGGAGCTCATGTGCAGTACTGAAGGTAACTTTCTCCATTCTGAGCGCTTCTTCAGCACCTTCGACGACTTTCCATTCCTGTGGGATCGGAAGTTAAGGCATTTCGATCGGAAGCAATACGGGAGCTCTCTTGTTGTGGACGACTCTGCTCGGGACGACTCTATTCAGGATGACGAAGGTCGCGACTCACGACTGCTAGACTGCTCGGGACTGAGCTCGACGAGCCGCTTGACATGAAACGAGTCAAGCTCGAGCTCGTTTTTTGAGCTCGACTCGAGTTCGAGCTCGACTCAAACACCTCCTGGCTCGAGCTCAACTCAACTCATTTGCACCCCTACTTAGGACCAACGTTTTCAAAATCGGAATGGACCGACCGATTCAACTCTTGACCATTGTGAATAGGTCAACTTATTTTTCCAAAAAAAAAGGTCAAGTTACCAGCCCGATCAAATTTGAAACCGTATTTGCATCAAACCGAGCTTGAGCTAGTTAGAATCGCACTGGAAAATCATTGAAACAGTCCTGATTTAATAGAACTGACCTATTCTATAAAATGTTTAATTTTATTTTAAATGTTATATTTTAGTTTATTAAATTCTTTTTAATTTTTAAAAAAATATTTTTATTAGATATAAATATAAATTCAACCACAATATATACAGGTCATCTCACCTAACATGTTTTGTTATAGGTTATGCAAACATTATATTATGTAAAGACAACTAGCTCAAATTTCTTTATAATGTGGGACTACAAAAGCTATATGAGTTAAAATGCAAATTTGAGCTGGGTTAGGCTATGAATTTGGGATGGTAGGTGTCACGACCCAACCCAACCGGAACGAATCCCTTCGCGTTGGGTCGCGACAAATGATGAAAATCCAGGATCTAGTTTTGGAATTTGCTTCAAAACTTTCTTCCAAATATTCAAACAAATAGAAACACATAGCTGATATAAACTTCAAATACATATAAAGAAGTGCATCCACTATTTTCTTCTTTCATTCATCAAAATAATCATATACAATACAGTGTATGGCTACAGACAAAGAACAAAACAGAAAAGTCATGACTGTACAAAAATCAAAAGTACAAAATACATAATCTCATATCAGACACTGAACGGCTAATCCAAGACTTCCTTCCCTTTCGCAGAACCTGAAAACCACGCAGAAAACAAGGATGGGCTAACAGCTCATCAAGACTACACTCACCAATCAAAATCTCCAGAAATTCACATTAGAAAACACATCAGAAGCAGTTATTTAAATAGCCGTACATAAAACGTATAATAGACATAAAAAATACTTGATCAAATAGAAATCAAATCAGAGTGCAGAACAGATCTAATAAAACTTATAAAACTTTCAAATCACAGAACATAATGGATCGTACAAATCAGAATTCAAATCAGATAAAATCACATTTCACATATCACATATCAGATTCCCGGACCCTGACAGAATCTCGACGGATTCTGGCCCCTAATGCCTCCCTTCCCTAACACAGACAGAATCTCAACGGATTATGGCCCCTTATGCCTCCCTTTGTGCTTATAGCACCAGAACATAACGGATATACAGAATTTTCAGAACATAACTTATTTTCTTTTCAGATTTTCCTGACACAGATAGAATCTCAAAGGATTTTGACCCCCTATAACTTCATTCTGATATCACAACACATCACAGCATTCAATTCAGAAAATCAGATTTCATCAGAAAAATCATCAGCGGCATAACGACAGTATACGGAATTTACACAAAATTCACAGATTCAGAAATTTACCAAATTACCACAAATAGTACACAACATCATTCTAAGACTTTCATTGTATTGAAACAATGATTTTAGACATCAAGATAAATTATTATTCGATCAAAACCCTATAGAATTCCAAATACCCGATAAAAATCTTTCAGAAAATACTCAAAACGTGCACAAATATCATCTCATAAACATACAAAAAATTACGCGGTAAAACTTTTATTAGTACAAAATAATACCAGAATTTCACTAACGGAACCAAAATTCAAAATATAAAAGTCGTTAAAATCCTCGTTTCTGAAAATTGAGAAAGGCTGAATGTGCCTTACCTCGAGTCACTCAACTTTCTCAACTGCAGCTACGGACGGAAACGGACAGAAGTCGCCCAAAAATCACTTTTTTTCTTTTTTCCTTCAGTTTTCTCTCTCCTGCCCTTTTTCTCTCTCTTCAAAAGATCTCATTTCCATATATATCCAACCAGATCGTCCCAGGATGATTTGTCCTTTGGACAAATTTCGTTCAGACGAAAGAGTTATCGTTCTTGAACGAGTTGCTCTCTGGAAAAATTTCGTACGAACGAACCCCAGTTCGTCCTAGGATGAACTTCTCTGTCCCCAAAACATGTACAAACCTGTACCGATCGTCCCAGGACGATCCAACTTCGTCCTGGACGATCCTCGAAGGAAAAACAGCTTTCACAGTAGGGCTACGAATTATGGAAAAGTTATTACTTCCGAACAAAAAAATCAGAAATCCGGACAAATACCGAGCGATACCGAGTGTTGTACCGAGCACGGTACCGAGCGCCCAAGTGACGTGGTGCTTTATTATTGGTCTCTGGATGCGTTCAATGTTCGGACACAATAATTACTCCGAATTATGACTAATTGGGCTACAAATTTTTTTAAAGTGTATGATAAATTTGTTATCATGTATACTATAAAAATTAATGATATAATTTTTAATATTATAAATTCATACATTATATTAAATATTATTCTTATTATAAATTATATGTAAATTATATATTTTTTAAAATTTTGTAAATATATTTCAAATAAAATATTATACTATATAAAATTTATCATCATTATTAGTGTTATGCAAACTATTTGGAATCATGTTATAAATTTATTATTTTTATTGAGTGTTGATTGAGGTATTAAGCATATTATTTTCAAGTCATTTTGAGAAAATCTAGCTATCCTTCTTGTCTTATGTCTAACTATTTTTTTATCAATATATATTGATATTAGTTATGAACTTATCCAATAGACATATTTTTACACTCCTTGTATGTGTCTAAATTAGCTAAACATATTTTTAGTCATTTTGTCTTTAATTCATACCACTATATTTATTTCATGCTAGAAAATCTACAATAATAAATTGATATATTTATTTCATAATTTTATATGAAGATCTTGCACAAATGAGATACTAAATTTTTTACGTGAAAACCTATGAACAATGTTGCAAAAACTGCACCGGACAATAAACCGAAAGGATGAGAGGTTCAATGTTCAAAGCCCAACTAGCTCAAATAAGCTCAAATTTACATTATAAGCTATTCATGCAACTTTTTTAGTCTCACATAATTGGAGGAATTTGAGTTTGTTGCTTTTAACCGTTTATAAAATATAAAGTACACACTTCTTACTAAATAAATTATTTGAGATATCTTGCATTATTATGTTGTAATTAATTATCATATTTAATAATAATATTTTAAAATTTTTAAAGAATTTAATAAATTAAATTTTATATTTAAAATTTAATTAAAAATAATAATTTTTTTAATAAGTTGTCTTGTTCTTTCCAACCTGGACTGATTCAGTAGTTCATTGGTTGAACTGTTGCTTCAATCTCGGTCCGGTTTTCAAAACAATGCTTATGAAAGAAAAATTTTATGAAAATTGACCCATATGAAATGACATAGTATGTAAATAAAATCACAATGGTTTGCTCTTCCCCTCACTTGAAGAAGACAAGTTTATAAACTAATAAAGTCAATCTTGATCCATAATAGTTCTAATATAGCTTATTGGAGAAGTAGTGAGTGATTAATAATGGCAGATAGAAGATGTTAGTCTAAGTGATGACAATTAAAAAATGACAATTATGTACTATTGGTCAGACAATGCTGATTAGAGGATGACAATTAGAAGATGGTGGTTTGGAAATAACAGTAGGATGATTGAGATTGGAAGATGTTAAATAGAGTAAGCAATCAAGTAGCACTGTTATGTAATAGCTTTAAATTTAATTTCATTGTGATTTTTGCTGAGGGAGCACTATATTACTAAGCTTGTGGG